ACAGAAATACATGTCGACATGTGCTAGCGTTTACAGCTCCCACTAGCGGGCGTCAGTAATCATGACTATATCCGAGACAAAACCATGCAGGATTTCTAGAAAAATCCATCATTCACAATCAATCTCAAATCTCAGACATAAACCGGAAAATTTCCATGTGACCATGGATTTAACAGAAAACTCAGAATTTGCAAACTCTCAGTTCATCAAAACAGTTCAGTCAATTCCAAATAAGCATGCTCTACTCAATGCAAAGAAAACAATTTCATTCCAATCATGCTTAATTCCATAAAACAATGCAATTCCCATTTTCATTCCAATCATGCTCAATTCCAGAAAAACAGTGAAATTCTCATAAAAACCATCACAAATTCCATTTCAGTTTCATCACATTCAGATGCGGATAAAATCAATTTAAAATCAATTTAAACCTTGCCACCATCTCAAAAACAGTTTAAAACATGCTTTAAAATCAAAGGGCTTTACCATAATTTACTTACCTCGCTCGCACAAAACCGAGCACTCAATCTCAATGCTAACTGACAGGACGATCAGGAACCTAATCAAAACACCTCAGAATTAATACCGGACTATCACAAATTCAAACTGAAATCATCATTAAAATCACTCCTAATCCCGATGCTATTCCTATCAATCTCCACATAACTGGACATCTCCAAATTTATTCTTATATCACAAACGAAACCTTTAAATCCCCGTCAATCATTAACCCTCGGTGTGTGAACAGTACTTATGAACAGTACCTCGTGAACAGTAACTTCAACTCCCAAAATTGACAAAACATAGCTAATTCACGGGGTTTCTCTCCAAAATCTCACAACAGTCATAACAAGCTAATTTTCTACTTAAACCACACTTAAAACATAGCTTAAAGCTACCAAAATTCATTCCAATTTCTTGGACAAGCAATGGAGACCCACGGCTTTGGCCAACAATGGCTAAGTCACGGGATTACTCCTACACAACATCACAACAGCCTAATTAACAAAATTCCTACATAAACTAAGCACAAAACACATTTAAAATGGCTGCCAAATTCATCCCCTATCCCAGCAGATTCGGACAACACAGAGCATCAACTAATGGACAAAACCCAGCCATTAAATGGGTCATTTTAAGCTTGGAAAAGCCGACAACTTACCAAAATTTAGCAAGCAAAACCGAGCCTAACAGGGGGGAGAAGCCGGCGGCAGAGAAGAAGAAATTCTGCAGGGGAACTCACGGCTACCCCATCCAAAAACCAAAACACAATTCAAGGTAAACCCAAGCCAAATTAAAGTTGAAAAGGTGAAGTTTATGGCTGTGGCTTACCGAAAAATGCCCAGAAATTTCAAACCCACAAGTTGAAGCCGACGGACAGCAGAGGGGGGGAAAGACGCAGATCTGGGATTTTCTGGGTTCAACAGGTGTTCTAAGACAAGAAAATAGGGAGAAATCCCCAAGCTTTGCCGGATTTCCGGCCGGAAAATGGGTGGCAGTAGTTGGGGGGCTTGTCAGGTGCAGAGGGTCGGGGAGAGGAAGAGCAAGGCACACGGGTCTGATGGGGAGGGAAAGAAAAAAAGAAAAAGAAAAAGAAAAAGGAAAAGCAGTCAATCCTTATCCTAATTCCTTTCTTTTAAGTCCCTCAACTTTTAAAGATTTTACAATTAAGCCCCAAAACAATATTTTTCCTCAAATAAGTCCCCAACCAAATGCTAAATTACCCCAAAATTTTGGGATATTACATAGGGGTAGGATAAACAACATTAGGAACTAACAGTGTAATGAATATACTTGGAATGTGGTAGTTGAAGGGGTATATATGGCCCTCAAAGATGCCTTTCCACATGGTTGTTTCCTCTTTGTTGGCAATATGCCATTGCAATGTATTATAGGTTTATGGAGATCCATGGAGGTGTATTAATTCCAATGTTAGGGCATTTAAGTCCATACTAGACATGATGATATTTATCAAGGCTAAAGAAGGAAGGGAAGGAGTGATTAGTTGATCGAAGGAGGATGGCACTAAAAAAGGCTAAAGTGATTATGGCGATGGCTATGTTCAGATCTATCCCTCAGAGGAGTTGCTTTAAAACCCATGAGAGTCATGAGACTAACTAGGAGGTTCACCACCTAAGTTAATGCAGATATAACTAGGAAAAAAAAAAAGAAACAAATTAAAGTGAATGAAGAAGATGAACAGGATATGAAGAAAGAATGAAAAAGATGAACAAGAGAAAGACAAAGGATAGATTTAGAAAGGAAGGAATAGGAAAAACTAAAGAAGGAAGATGATAAAGACTATTAGTTAGTTTTTTTAACAAATAATATGATTGGGTTTATTTTTTTCATTGAAAGATTTTCATCACTTTAATGTTCTCACTAACAATCTTACTCAATCTAGTCTGTAATTTTTAATTTGTTTATTCTATTTTTGTCCTAGTCATCATCTTGGCTTATTTTCTAGACATTTCAGCAAGTTTATTAGGGCCTATTAATCCTATGTAAAATCGTAATGCTCTTATTCTTAATTAGAAACTTTTAAAATGTTGTTGAAATGACTAGGTCTGAAACTTGCCAATGGTTTAACATCTTTATTGGCCTTTAAAAACTTAAGTTTAAATTGTTATTGGTGGTTGGTCTCTACACTTATATAGTAAATTCACTCATGATTCCCCATGATGTAGGATTCAAGGCATTATAATCTCCATTAAAAGCTTAAGTTAAAGTTATTAGTAGTGGTTTGTGGGTTGCAATAGTCAACATGGGCCTACACTTGTGAGAGGTAACTGCTCTAATAGCAATTAAAATGACCTAAGCCAAAACTTGCCATTGGTTTAACATTGTTTAGCTAAGGTCCACATAGCCTCAAAAGCTTAAGCTCAAGTTGTTAATGGTTGGTCTCTACTCTTATATACTAGTCTCACTCGCAATTCCTAATAGGTGTGGGATTTAGGGCATTAGAGTGGTAGTCTTGATTAGTAAGGGAAAAAAAGTCATATCCTTAGCTGGTAGTAAAATTTTGAAAGGTTTTATTCTTATTCCTGCAATTTCTTGCCTTTCTTGCTAAAACAAAACAAACAACTATTGAGATGAATGTAAGCTAAATTGATTTAGGTTTTGATTAATGTTTAATTAGTCATTAATTGTGAGAGGAAAAGGTGCGGGTTTGCTCTGTCATGCAATGATGATTTTGGGATGCAAGTATCCTTCTTTTCATAATCTTGTTTGGCAAATCCAAGTGGTTGTTAAGGGCAGTTAAACGGTTTCTATGGTCCTTCAGAGAATAGTTGTAAAGAAGAGTTATGGATCCTTCTTAAATCATTTAACGTAGCTTTTTCCCTACTGTCATTCTTTTAGGAGACTTTAATGAAACCCTTTAGCAATTGAGGGGGGTAATTCTTCACCTTGTGGACAAATGGAAGTTTTTGCAAAGGCACTAAACTATTATGATTTTAACTAATTGGGATTCAAAGGACCATGCTTTACATTCATCAGGAAAATGCTTAGAGATACAATCAAGGAAAGATTAGACAGGGTCTTAATGACATCAAGATGGTTGGACTTGTTGTTAGCAATATTCTCCCACCATTTACCTGCTTTGAGATCTAACCATGCACATCCTATTGCTAGTTGACAAAAGGAAGAGGAGAAGTAATAAGCAAACACCTAAATTATTTCAGTTTGAGAACTACTGGATTAAGGGCAATGAACTCAAATATTTTGACAAGTGTAAAATAAAATATAAACAAAAGAATTGTTATAATATTATACAATATTTGAATTGGAAAGGCTTAACCCCTTATTTAGCCCCTTTAACATATAAAATTTAAAGTTATTAGCCCCTCAAATAAAAACTTAAGAGTATTAGCCTTTCAACAATATAATTGGTAGAAATTCACCCTTATTTGATAGACTTTAAACTCACAACATTAGTCAAACCTTATTGTCATTCTAGGTAACGACATAGTTAGCATCCCTATCTTATATGGCGTGCCACTGTGGTAATCAACAATAATCTTTTTCTTTAATGTAATATGGACCCTACCCTATAATACTAAATAAAATAAAAGATCTGAACAAAATTTAATGTCCCACCTAAAAAACCATAGGTCCCAACTCTGTCATTTTAAACAAAAAAAAAAGAAGAAGAAGAAGAAGAAGAGAGGAAGTCAAAACAATAATTCATAATCAATCCGTCAATGGCATGGTGGCATGCCATGTGGATAGGGATGCTGATTGTATTGCTAGTTAGGATGAAATAAGGTTAAATTAACAGTGCGAGTTTAAAGTCCATTAAATAAGGGTGAATTTCCCCCAATTATATTGTTGAAGGGCTAATACCCTTAAGTTTTTATGTGAAGGGCCAATAATCTTAAACTTTATAAGTTAATGAGCTAAATAGGGGATTAAGCCGATTAGAAATTACAAATCTAAAGACAATTTTTTCCTCAAAATCTTACCTCAACTTAGAACTTTACCTTAATTGGTTCATTTCCTCAAAAGAGATACTAGAGACAAATCATAAAGTGACAATTTGTACTAATAGTGTTATAAAATAAATAAATAAAAATGTAGAAAATGAATGAAGTTGAGAGGTAAAGAGAGGTAAAAAGAGACAATGGGATTATGAAAATTTCTTATTCTTGTTCTTTCTTTCATTTATCTCCCATTCAATAACTATGTATACGCTAGTAAAGTGGTAGGAGTTACAAGAATTATAAAAGTTACAATACAAGAGTTAATCACCACTAAATAAGAATAAATAACCATTAGATATATAGGAAAGTGGAGGAATTGATCATCATTGTATTGAGCATGTAAAAGCATGAGGAAGTGGGAAGGCGAAAAGTGAGGAAGTTGAAACATCTTCCATAAGTTATTTCATAATACTCCCCTTTGGATGTTCAAGTCTTATTGAACACTTCTTAAACTGCCTTGTTAAAAACCTTATCAAGGAAATCTTAGTGGGAGAAAAAACCATGGCGTAGGTAAAAAGAGTGCATTATGTATCATTCTCATCCTCAACGAATATCTGTAAGGTGTTGCATGCGAATCTTGTGTACTAGTTGCTTAAAAAATTCTAGTAGGTAGCAATTTAAATGATTTGCAAGATGTCTACTCAAATTTGATATATTGAATACTTATTTTCTCAACTTTTTAGAGTTCATATGTAGAAAAGAACTTTGATGAAATATTAGTTCCCCTTCCTTTATGCAATGAATGCGATATTATCCTTGTATAGACACTAGATTTCCTATAAATGGTTTAAGGCCATATACTTGTTGAACATGTTGGATCAAAAGTCTTCACCATACGTAGGTTTTTTTGCTCTCGTGCTCTACTTAGGGTTGAAGGCAAAGGCAGCGAGTTTTCCTCCTTAAGGTTTCTCTCCAACAGAGGAGTTCCTTTTTTCCTGCTTTCTTACGGTTACCTTCCTCAATTGATCTCTCCTTCATCTTCTCGACTATGTTGCTTTGGAAACTTCAGCCCAAGGGATCACAAGGCAGTGGCATATTCATATCTACATTTGTAGTTGATTTCTAAAGGCTGCAACTAGAATAACGAAGGAATTGATCTTGCCAGTGGATTGGGTTTCTCCTATTCAATGAGTAGGAAACTCGCTTTGGTGCATGTAATACCCCAAAATTTCTAGAATATTAAAGTTGAGTTAGGGACCTAATTGTGAAGAAATATTATTAATGAACTTAATGGCAAACATTTTCAAAGTTTAGGGACTAAAAAGAAAAGAAATTAGGATGAGGATCAGCTGATATTTTTATTTCTTTTCTTCCCAGCCATACACGTTTCTGCTTTGCTCTTCTTCTTCGTGCAGCCCGACAAGCCGCTCCCCCAAGCCACCGACTTTTATTTCTTGAGAAAATTGGTAACAAGCTTGATTTTTCCCTTCCTGTAAGGACAGGTCCGAGGTGCCAAGACTCGGACTGCTACAGTAATCCCTTTATGACCGAAGTGAGGAATGAATCCAAAGCTTCCCGCTCAAATAGCTGTATGATAACAACAATAAGCATGCCCGCACCTGATTCCTTATGATGAGTGGCACAGCAGATATGGTGGACGCTTGTGCACCTGAATACCTCTCAAATTCCCGGTCCCGGAATAATCGTTTGGATAGACACGTCAGGCTCCGATTATCTTGCTTGGCATGCCACGTGGGTTCCTCATTGGATCCTATAAATACCCCCCCGGGCCACGTCAAAAAGGTAATTGAAACCAACCCTAAGCTCTTTTTATCTCCGCCTTAAAGGTAGCCCTGATTATTGCTGACTTAAGCATCGGAGTGTCTACCCCGAGTTCCACCTCGGGGCTTTGCAGGTTACTTCGGAGTACAAGCGCGGACTGAAGAAGGACTTCGGGTTTGGTGCAATTACATTGGCGCCGTCTGTGGGAATCGAACTGAAAGTTTTCTAGTTGCTCTCCCATCATGGTTCACACTCGATCGGTCCGAGCTGGTAATTCATCTCTGCCTCATGGGCAAGGTCAACCACACAACAACCTTCCACCTCCGATCCCACCTCAAATCCTACCTCAGCTTCCACCTCAGGTCCCAACCATATTCCCTCCTGCTAATCATGCAGAAGGAGGAGATGAAAACCAACCTCATGCCTCAGCTCACAATTCTACTTCCACTGCCAACCAAGACGTGGTGACAGCTCAACTTGCTGCCATGCAGCAGCAGTTTGGTGTTTTTCAGTTAGTACTGGCTCAGCTTCTAGCTAGAAATAATCGTGGTGATCCCCTCATTAATCTACTAACCCCTGCTCAACAACCTCCAGCCCCACAACAGAATCCCCAACCGATTCCACCTGCTCCCGCCATTAGCGAATCTCAGGGTCAATCCCACATAGCACCTGCTCAGCAACCCATCCCAGATGATGTCACCCGACGCCTCGATAGCTTGGAAAAGCTAGTAGCTGAACACCGAGGTGCTCCACCCCCACACCATGCTGCTGATTCTATACCTCACCCT